ATTTAAAAGCCTGAAGTCTATGCACAGTCTAAATGCCGTCCATTCTTTTTTGCAACACATACTATAGGATGTGCCCAGTCACTGTCACTGGGTTCTATAAGATCCCATTCTAACAGTTCTTTAACTTGACGATCGACTTCCTCTTGAAGTGAAACAGGAACACGGTAGGGCTTCAATCTTTTTTTATTAGATTCTTCTGTAACCTTGATGTCATGACCATCAACATTGGCTTGACCAGGTTTGCTACTGAAAACATCTACATAAGATTTTAGTACTTTAAATAGTCCTTCCCGTTGGTAATATTTTAAGTCGCCTTTCAAATTTTGTAAATGGGTCCAGCTATCATCAGCAGATTTATTCATAAGATCTGCTGGTGCATAGTGGATATCTCCAAACTCTTCATCTTGGTCAAAAATGATACCAACGTGATCTACACGAGCAATATAAGGCCTTAACTTATTTATATGGTGTTCTCTAATACTTCCGTTTTCCATTTCGATTTTGGCAGAGTGTGGCCTGGTAAGTTTGATCACGGTAGCTTGCCACGTGTTGAGCAATTTATGTGATGATGATAGCATTAACATTGAAAGTCTTTTCTTGAGAACGTAAATTGTATCTTGAAGTGTACTCTTCTTGAGATATTTTTGAATTTGCTGATGCAATGTCATGAGCTTTTCTTAATTTTTCTAAAAGGTCTTGTAGATAATTTTCAATTGAACGGGAAGCTGTAACTTGAATGCTATGTTCACCTGTCCATATCTCTTTCAGCAAAGATAATGGTCCTGGTGGTATTCTTCCATATACCATCTGGAAGGGAGACAAACCAGTGGTGCTATGTGGCACTTCTCTGTAGGCAAACAGGAGATAGGGAAAGATTCAAATCCCAGTTTCTGCCATGTTCTTGGATATTTTTGTTCATCATCTTCTTTTAAGGTTCTATTCCAAACGCTCGACAGCACCCATACTCTCGGGGTGTCCTGGAGTGGAGAATCGTGGAGACACACCAAGTAAGTTCTCAAAGGCTCGGGTGAGTTTGGCTGTGAAATTAGTTCCCTGGTCGGAACAAATCACTTTTGGAAATCCAGTTTGAGTAAAAAGCCTCATCAAAACGTTGCATGTTGTTTTCGCACTTATGTCTTTGACGGGGGTGGCTTCTGCCCATCTGGTGCATAGGTCAACTGCACATATCACAAACCGATGACCTCTCCTGGATGGAGGTTCTAATGGCCCGATACAATCCACGCTCCATACTTCAAAGGGTGTTTCCGGTCTAACAAGGTTGAATTGGGATTCGATCTTTGTACGTAACTGTTCTCCTCAATGGCATTCTTTACAACTTTCACAGAATTTTTTAACATCTTGCTTAATAGTAGGCCAAAAGAATGAGTACTTGATTCGTTGAATTGTCTTTTTCACCGAGGTGGCCGGCAAGAGGGATTTCATGTGCCATTCTTAGGACTTCCTTCTTTTTTCTAAGGTAAACAAACTTGCTTAATGTTTTCACCACAGATATATTCGGAATGAAGTAATATGCCATCATCGAAAGTATATGAATTTTGATTTTATTTGCCCATTCAAAGCATTTTTTCAGAGTTTCGTCTTGTTCTTGATGTGTCTTGAATTCTAGTCTTACTCTGTTCGTTGTTTTCAGAGACTCTATGTTTTCTTGGGAAATCTGATTAACAACAGCCAAATTTGTAGTATTGTCTTCAACTGGTGAGGGTTTATCATCTGTCTCTTTGTACTCTAAGGGGGATGCATCCCAATACGATCACAGTTCCACAGTTCGATATTTCCACAGAGTGTTTCATAAGCTGAAGAACTCAATAGCAAGTCGGTAACTAGCTTTTTTGAAACAGCACACGTAATGGACACTCTACCGTGAAAATCATCGTCAATTTTCATCTGGAAAATCTTTAGTGGAGTAATTTCGTTTTCACCAAAAGCAGAAGATATCTCTATTTTACTTTCTCCTTCGCAAGGTATGTTGTCAACCAATTTCTCACGGACTACTGAAATTTGTGCTCCCGTGTCTACGATTCCATTTAGAATAATATCTCCACATTTAACTTTGACAAGTTTTAATTCATCTATGTTTCTAGACACGTCCACTGATTTTGAGACAGGAATAGAGATCTTGGCAGTTAGCACTTCTGGTTTTTCTTTTCTGTAAGGGGTGCTTGTGTTTGTATTAAGTTGTTTTGTGCTGTTGCAGAAGCACTTCTTGGTATCCGATTTTTGGTACATAACTTAGATGTATGACCTTCTTTTCCACAATTATAGCAAGTTAGTTTGAAACTAGGCTTTTGTGGTTCGTCACTCTTACGGGATGGGTACACTCTTGGCGTGTTTTCAGCGGACAGCGATTTATTTCTGAAAGCTCTTTCTGGAAGTGGAGAACGAGGTTGCCATTTTATTAGTTCTGTCTGCTGATGGATTACCACCAGTCCGTTTTGAGATATTACGAACACTGTCATATTCGTCAAGTTTATCAGCTAATTTGGTTGGAGAAACGAAACGAATTCTTCGCCCAGTCGTCAAGAAGATGGTCTCTTACTTCATAGGGTACTCTTTTCTTAATTTGGTCAGTAATAATCAAGTCTTTTAACGCGGCAAAATTTGTGATTTCAAGACCATTGATCCATTCTTCAAAATAACTTGTAATTTCGTAGCAAAAATCTCTCCATGATTTTTCAGCGCTCTTTTGGTGCATCACAAATTTTTTTCTAAAGCTTTCAGGATTTAATTTAAATCTCTTCAATAAAATGGCCTTAATGTACTCATAATCTTCAAAATTTTCTTCAGATTCCCTACCAATTAATTGAATGATTTCAGATGGCATTAAAGTCAATAAACATGAAACCCAATCTTTAGGATCAATCTTTGTCCTTTTAGCTTGTCTTTCAAATAAGGATAAATAAATCACAATATCATCGTGTCTTAAATTGAATTTGGGAATAAGCTTAATTAAATCAAAATTATGATGTCCATTTTCATTTGTTGGTGGAGTTTGTGTTAGTCGAACACGAGATTCAATTTCGAGTTTCCTCAATTCAAACTCCATTTGCTCTCTTTTCTGCTGTGCTTCTAATTCTTCTTTCCTTCGTTGTTCCTCAATCTCTTCTTTCCTTCGCTGTTCCTCAAGCTCTTCTTTCCTTCGCTGTTCCTCAATCTCTTCTTTCTCCTTTCTTCGCTGTTCCTCAATCTCTTCTTTCTCCTTTCTTCGCTGTTCCTCTTCTTTTCTTTTCCTCTCTTCAATAATCGTTAAAAACACTTCTTTAGCAAATGCTTCATCATATGTATCACTTTGAATTATTTCATTTTTTATCGCCACGATTTTCATACTTGGATCTACTTGAATTTCTAATTCAGCAGCTAAAACCAGCAAATCCTCTTTTTTCCCACGTCCCATAAAAGCCATGTCTCGATTTTATTCAGTCAATAGACTCTTAGTTTTATAAAAAGCAATTTTTTTCCCTCTTTTCTTTTTCTATTTAAATATAATTCACAATGAATTTAATTTTATTCGGCACGAAAATCAATCAGTGGAATCAATACTTAATGTGTTGTTCACCTACTCTGGCGAGTCAAACGAAATTACATTTGAACACTGGCGTATTCATTACTTTGATAAGTAAATAAACTAAGATTCCATGATGGGAACAATAACTAACTTTTCATAATCTTAATTAATTATTTTACGTTTACAAGGTAAATTGAGCTCTCACCTGAGTTAGTTTGGTTCGTAATTATATGCGGGGAAACCCCGATCCTGCCGGCTGCGCGAGTAAAAATCCTTTCCTTATTTCAATATAATGGATATTGAACCTTGTAGGAAGAACAAAGCTAAATTTTCAGAATGAACAAAATACTTTTATTTGAATTTTAAAACAGAACCAAAAAAATAAATGCTGCAGCTCTTAACTATCAAAATTTTAAACTCTTAACTACTACAGTTAAAACTCTTACAACTATTAAAGTACTCAAAATCTTAAACTCTCTCTAAACAAAATATATAAAAATCTTCCGAATCCTCTTCTTGTTGCCAGACCGTAAAATGCAAGTTCTTGTCCTATTATTTATATTTCATGTTCTCTTTAAGTCACGATCTTTACAAGTCACGATCTTTACGAGTCACGATCTTTACAAGTCATGATCTTTACAAGTCATGATCTTTACAAGTCACGATCTTTACACCTTGGCAACGAAGCTCGGCTTTAACTACTTATGCCCTTTACCCCCTCGTCTGAACGAAGCTTAAGATGCTAAATGAGGAATGGGATTTAAGAAATGAAGCTTTTGTAGAGAGGGCATTTCAACATTAAGCCAGATTCTTAAAGCAAGTAATTTTAAGCTAATAGGACTGAAAGAGCTTAAAAAAAAAAGTTAAAAATGCATTCTGAAATTTTTAAATAGATATTCTCAAATTGCATTCAGATAGTAATTGTTTCTCTTTTCTGACAGTTATTTTAATGTATGGTAATTTATAAGGAAATATGTTGATTCCTTTTCTTCAAGTAATTTTCAAGTAACAAAGATATATATTTATTTACAAATTAATACTCTTTAAATGCTTTTTATGAATTGTAATTTTTGTTAAATCCATCCTAAGATACATTTATTGATTTTACATTTCTTCAAAAGAAAATGTAACAAATGAAACTCCCAGAATGACAAGCAAGGAAAGAGAATGTGAATTACTGTATGTCTATATGAAGCATCTAAGAAAATAGAAGAAAGAAGAAACTTCATCTTTTGATTAAGATAGAAATGATGAAGAGAATGGAAGAACAAAATAACAGAAAAATTAAATGGATTATAGAATCAAGAGCCATAAAATATTTTGAGTATTTATTTCATGTAAAACAAATTTTATGCCATGTTAGCCATGTTGCATAACTTTTATTTTACAGTTTTTTGTTTTTCTATTAAAAAACTCATTTCTTAAATTATTCAGCATTAAATAATTTTGTAATTTCTGTGATTATCATTTTCCATAGGTGATTTTAGAATTGGACTTCTTTGAAGCTGCTCGAGGTACAGTGAAGAATGCAAGAGTTAATGTTGTAGATACATGTCCAAAATGTGGAGGTACTTGCTGTGTTCCAGGCACAAAGATGGTTCGATGTGATCATTGTAATGCTACTGGCATGGTAATAACATTTTTCACATTGTGTGCAAAAGAAATTTTTTTGCTTATATTTGTCTTGCCCGCATGATTTTAAATTATGTTTAGCTTTTTTCATGCATGATGAAAAATAATATCATGTTTTTTCAATGTGAGGTATAAAAAAGTTTAATGTTTTTAGGATGATATGCATGACATGACCAAAACATTAGAAAAAATGTATATTTATTTATACATCTTAGAGTGAAACATATACAAACTAAATATAACCTTATAAGCAGGCAAATATTATTATCTTTGATATTGTGCAATGAACATGGATATATATCATAATCTTGACAGCTTTAATCATGGATATTTAATTGCTTCAAGTGAATCATTTTACCTTTGAAATGGCAATTAATCATAGTTTTCTCTGGAGCAAATTTATTAACTGTTCTATGAGTTTTTTAACTATATTATTTATAGGTATGCAGCACATAAATAGCAGTTGCTGGGGCAGAATTTATGTAAAGTTTCATCATGAACCTTAAGCTTTAGATTGAACTGTCCAGACTGGTTTACTCCATCTGAAAGGCAGTGGTAGTTATATTCTTGCTAAATACAAGAGCCCCAAGACATATCAGGCTTGGAGTACTAAAAGACATGATTGAATAAATATTATTTCCTGCTGCACTATTTTGATACGTATATATGGGCTTTAATTCAACAGTCTGACACCTTGGAAGTATAGTGCCAGATTAACTCTGTGGTTATGTATGAAGGTATTTTGGAGGCATTTATGTAATTAACAATGCATCTGGAAAAATCATTAAATACTTCTCATTTACCAAACTATGCTAGTAGATGAGCTATATTCTTTCACTGCCTTCATTTATTCTGAAGAAGTAGTTTATCTCATTTATGCCAGGTGTTTACTGCACAGACTATTCATTGACTTCCAAGGTCATACGTTAATATTATAGTTGTAGCGTCATTAGGTTTATTTTGAAACAGAAGAAATGAAAAAGTAGCAATGCCCTCGCTGGAACTCGAATCTGGACCTCTCGAATATACACCGAGTGTGCTATCATTACACCACGAAGGCATGCTGGAAGAAAGGAGAAAATACCATCTTTCTGAGTTGCTGTTAGCAAAGCTATAAAAAATTGCTATTGAAAAGTATATATTTAGAGAGAGAGAGATAAAGAAGGATTAATTTAATAACACCATAATAATAATAAATATCTATATCGATAGTTATTTAATAATTGCAAATAAATAAGTAAATATGCATGCATATAGTAAAATGAAAAACTTCAAAAGGTTTCATGGCTGACATGTTTGGAACTATTAATTTGGCCCAGAGATGAAAAACCACTGGCAGTGGCAATGCCGATATTTTTTTCTGGCACAGAAACCTATGGAGCCTCTTAAAAATAATTTATCAAAAAGAAATCTGAGAGCTTTCAGATTTTATATTATGCTCAAAGAGGCATATTTATACCGGGGAGATTCAGAATGGGATTTTGGAAAGGGATACAAACATTCAAAGTCATTTGATGCAAAATACCATTAGACGTTGTAACATCTTTGCATTGCTACGCTATCAACATAATACTAGTAAGAAATGTAAAGAAACCTCGTGCATAAAATGTTTGAAGATGCACATGATGTTAATGGAATGCTTTGAAATCATTGAGTTTGCTAATCAAAAATTCATTAAAGTTTTATGAAATAGATAATAAAACAAATTCCAAATTCGGACTTCCAGATACTTGTATTCCAGCAGAGGGCTACATTATTCAAAATATGATGTCTCTAGGCACCATTGTTTTTTCACAGCACAAGAAACATACATAAATTCATGCAGATTCTTCGTTATTTAATTTCTTAAAAAATTTACAGAAAATTACACAAAATGCCAAAACAAAATTAGTAGCCCTTCTGAGCTAATGCTCATTAGGCTAATAAATAAATATAAGAATTCATCAATTTATTGTAGATTTTAATTTAATAGAATAACTTTTATTATGTACAATAATTGCAGAAATACAAAAATGAAACAAAAATTAGTATCTGTCAAAAATAGTTAGTAATTTATTTTTTTTTTTAAATGAAACAAATATTTTTGTTTCTAGTGTGTTCACTTCTGCATTTAAAGCCTATGGAAAATCCATGTTGTGCTTTCAGATGTTTTTAATTATTATTCTCAGTAATGAATTTCATTCAGTTTCATAATAAGAGTATCCTTATATATGAAATTAGTAGCATGTGCATATTTATAAGGTTAACAAAATGTAAACTTAAAACAAATTGTCTGCCATTAAGCTGCGTTCACACTGGTCCATTGGGGCGAAATGCATCAACGCGGAAAAATACGCTTTCCGCGTACGTCAGTTCACACCAGCATGGCAACTTTCTCTTTAAAAGTTGTCATATGTGCACTCTAGATGGCGCCTCATATCAGAAACTCAGGGAGGGGAACTGGAAATTTTTGTGTGGTATTATAACTTTTTATGATTCTATTTTTTAATTAAAATGGATTTAATTTCTGCTCAATTAAAACGTATTTTACTTCTTGTTTTGTGTAAGAGAAGCAGAATGCAGTGGTTTATATTAATATGTGAGAGATGACTGCATCAACAAGGTGAAAATAATTTAATTGGAGAAATGCACTTTGAGCGAAATGAAATTTCTTTTAATTTCTTTCGCATGACACCTCATCAATGAATTTCTAGTGCTCATTGAATTATTTAGTCAAAAGCAGAACACTAATTTTTGTCAGAATATTGCAGAAAAGAATTGTTTGGACGATAGGAATAGGATATCCTAGAAAAGGATCATTGTATATATCAAACGCTGTATATATCTAATTTAATTTATTTATAAATTTTGTTGAATGATAATTAAAAAATCCTAATTGCATGATTCTATTTTGGAGAGTAAATTTTTCATGGGGTAGAATACCATAAATGTTTTTGCAACTTCCCTTAATTGCTTTTAAATAATGCAATAAAAAGTATATTTTGTTTAAATATATATAGGATTTACAGCATTACTAAATTAAATATCACACTTTAAAAAAGCAGTTATTTTTAAGGTAATAAACAACAGCAATTTTTTAAAAATATTTTAGTTTCTGCCTTATGTATATATTTTTTTGCCTTAAATGTAACAGTAATTGCTTCAATTAGTCATTCATATATTAATGAACAGCCACTATCTAAAGGTTTATTTTATAAGGTCACTTTTATCTAAAATTCATTCAAGTAACTGCGTTTTATATAATACACCTTTTGCTGCATTAAAAATTGAATTCTATAATTAGCAAATTTGCTAATGCTTATGCAAAAGTTCTTTATTATTAATGAAAAATTATCAAGATTAAACCTGTCGAAAAGTGGACATGCGTGTTAAGAAAAACAAACATGAAGTCATTAAAATGCACAGTAATATTACATAAAATCAGCTACATACTAGCGAGCTTCTTTTCCGTATAAATAACAGTTTTCTTAAATTTTTTAAACAAATGGTATACTCGTCACCACTCGTTTTAAATTCAGAACTCGCTAAATTTTTTAATTAGATGAAACAGCAACTTTATACTAATACCAGTATCACTTTTGCTAATCTGGTGTCAACACCCCCCCCCAAAAAAGTCGTGATAGATTTTAAAAAAAAAGTGTATTCGTACCATCATCAAAGGAGGAAAAAGCAGGGCCCAAACCCGCAATACAAGTCCTTAGTAAAAGCTGAACTTTCTACTGAACATGTTACCTCTATGCTAAAGTATCTTGCGGATAAGCGTGGTTTTCACACTTCACCTTCAGGAAACTGAAGAAGCATTTAGGCTACTCTGAAATTAACGATAATATTTTCTGTAAATATTTTTTTAAAAATAACAATTCCATTACAACACCACTCCTGGTGATGCTTAAATCCAAAATCTTTAACTCAAGAAGCCAATGTTTTATCCGCTAGGCAACAAGAGCAACCTTAAATTGATGTAGATATATTTTAAGAAAAATTCAAAATCTGAGATTTCGAAATCGATCACTACTTTCTCGCAACATTCTATTGCTTTAGATTATTCTATAAAGATTATGAACCATATATCATTTATGGTTGATTTTAAGGTTTATCACTGCTAATAAACTTAAGAATTTTCCTTTAAATAATTTATAAAGCTATTTATTTTATTAGCATATGCATTTTTTTATTATTATCTGAAATTTTTAAGATTAGTCCATTTGACTTTTTTTTTTCATCAAGAATTTTTGAAAGTGCAATCATTTAAAAACCATGGTATAAACTGGGCGTTTGAAACGAGATGCCTGAAACTGACGCGTCAAAAAGTTGAAGTTTAAGTCAACTTGCACGGTGTCCAGCCATCTGGTAAATGCCGCCTCTGAACTCGCTGCTGATTGGTTAACGTTTTACACGCGAACACGTGACCGCGTTGGTGTGAATGCAGCTTTAGTTATACAGGCAACAGAAGTCTTTTTTGACACTAAAGAAATGTTCTTTATTTTTCATGTATTAATTTGATTAATTAATAATATTAAATTTATTTTAGGATTGTTATAGATTTTCTTAGTCCTTAAAGCAGGGTCCTTAAAGCAAGGTCCTTAAGAGTCATTAAAAGTCTTTAAGTTTTTTGGAATCGATTTTTGATCCTTAAAAGTTCTTAATTTTGGCCAAAATCAGCAGAAGGTCCTTAATTTTAATCATCTGAAATGTCTGTCTGTGTTTATGATTGCCATTTTGAGTGTGTATTATCATTTTGGAGGAATATTTTTGTCTATTCACTGACATCTATGGTTATCTTTTGAGTGGGTTCATGGGTTATAATTTGTCCCTATTTCTAATATAAATGGTGGGGTACTGGACTTTCTAAGCAAGAAGTGAACCAGAAGCATTTCGGAATTCATTTTTCTAATGAAGAGCTCTTAAGCAACTTTTTTTGCTTTTATTAAACGGTTCTGAATTTGGCGATTTTTAAGATCAGTTTCTATAGAAAGATTTTAATTCAGAGATCTGGGA